GAGCAGGGCAGGGAGGAGAGGGGAGGAGAGTGCCGTGGGGTGAGTCCCTAGTGGGAAGGAGACCCAGTGATTGTGATTATAAACTCAACAGTGGCTGACAGTTTGATAACCAGATTGGATTACAGAAAGCTGTGAACTGCTGTATTAGTTTGCTTGGGTTGTAAAGCAAAATACCATAGACGGGGTGGCTGAAGCAACAGAAATCTGTTTTTTCACAGTTCTGGAGGCGGGAAGTCTGAGATCATGCTGTCAGCAGGATTGATTTCTCTTTAGGTCTCTCTCCTTGGCTTGCAGATGGTCACCTCTCAGCCTGTGTGTGTGACTTTATCTCCCCTTATAAGGACACCTGTCACACTGGCTTAGGGCCCACCCTGAAACTCTCATTTTAATTTAAGCACCTTTTTAAAGGCCCTATCTCCAAATACAGTCACATTCTGACGTACTGGGTGTTAGATCTTCAACATATAAATTTTGGGGGGACACAATGCAGTCCATAATAACTGGGTTAAGTACTAACCTGGTCTGGGACAAAACTAAGATGTCTGCTCAAGGGAGAGTTGAATGTTCAGGGTCAGTGTTGAGATTAAGAGAACTTCTGGTTTGTACATCACTGAGAGGATACTCTTCAAACCCCATACAGGAGTAATTGATAATCAACCAGACTATCTTGTACCAATATATAGCTGACTAGTTCCTTAAACTAAATTAATACTCTCTTTTTTAAAGATTTTATTTATTTATTTACTTATTTATTTATTTAAGAGAGAGAGACAGAGATAGTAAGAGAGAGCATGAGTGGGGTGGGGGCAGGGAGAGGGAGAAGCAGACTCCCCGCCCAGCAGGGAACCCGTTACAGGGCTGGATCCCAGGACCCCAGGATCATGACCTGAGCCAAAAAGGCAGACGCTTAACTAACTGAGTCACCCAGGTGCCTCTAAATTAATACTCTTAGGGTGAAAACACTTCTAGGCTTATTTCACATGATTTTATGCTATTTCCCCCACAAAAGGGCCAGTGAAGATATAAGCCAGCACCAGAGTAGGGGGATGTAGGCCAAGATAGCTAGTGTTCTGGGACATGCCTGAGGTGGGACCCAAAGTTCATACTATTTCCAGTGGACTAAGTTCTGGCATGAACCTCTGTGGTATATGAGGCCAAGCCTCCTGCACACCTACACTGGTTCCTTGGTGTGGGGTGTAACCCCTGGCATATGCTGGCCAGGAGATATAGCCAGCCTGAGATCGTTATGCTTGGTCATTGCCCTCAGGGATGTGGGTCCATTCATCTTGGGTAGCTCTCTGGAATTATTCTTAGAACTGTGCCCAGGGCGCCTGGGTGGCTCAGTCGTTAAGCGTCTGCCTTCGGCTCAGGTCATGATCCCAGGGTCCTGGGATCGAGTCCCACATCGGGCTCCCGCCTCGGCGGGAAGCCTGCTCTCCCTCTCCCACTCCCGCTGCTTGTGTTCCTACTCTAGCTGTCTCTCTCTCTGTCAAATAAATAAAATCTTTAAAAAAAAAAAAAAAAAAGAACTGTGCCCATGAATTCAGTTTTATTCCATGATAATCCTGGGATATTAATAGATCAACCCACTTCTCACACAGAATACATTGGCCAAGTTGTTTTTCTACCTGCTGTGATGGTTAATTTTACGTGTCAATTTGGAGGGTGTTTTGGATGAAATTAACATTTAAATGGGTGAACTTGGGGTAAAGCAGATTGCCTTCCATAATGTGGGTGGACCTCATCCAATCAGCTGAGGACCTGAACAGAACAAAAACTGACCTCCTAAGCAAGAGGAATTCTCCCTCAGATTGTCTTTGCACTGGATCTACATGATTGGCTGTCCTGGGTCTCCAGCCTGTCGGTTCACACTGTAGACTTTGGACTTGCCAGCCTCCATAATCCATGAGTCAATTCCTTATAATATACCTCTTTCTCTATATATATACAAATCATATCAATTCTGTTTCTTTTTTTAAAAAAGATTATTTATTTTGGAGAGAGAGAGAAAGCATGCAAAGGGGAAGGGGAGAGGGAGAGAGAGAATCCCAAGCAGGCTCTGTGCTGAGCCCAACACCGGGCTCAATCTCATGACCCTGAGATCGTGACCTGAGCAGAAATCAAGAGTTGGGCGCTTAACCAACTGAGCCACTCAGGCGCCCCTCAATTCTCTTTCTTAATTCATCTCTTTCTCTCCATATATACAAATCATATCAATTCTGTTTCTCTGGGGAACTCTGACTAATACACCTGGAGTAGTTATGATGGTGGGTTATTCATTCCCCTAAAGGGGTAGACACTGCATCGTCTTTATGGAGGGATCTGCTGGACTCTAGATATGGGACCCCCTTTCTTTTTACGCTCCTCTATTCTGGCTTCCCAGGTTTATGGCCTGCAAGGGTGGGAAAAGTCAGGTGACCCAGTGCCAAAGGCAGCTCTAGGAAGCTGGGTTTTCACTGAGGCTAAGAAGTAATGTGATTGAAAGTACAACCCAACATGAGAACGGAGAAGCAGTATCAAGCTCAGGTCCAAGAATTATGACCTGAGTCATATACAAGAGATGAGTCTGGAGATTAGATTTCACATTTTTTTCAGGCTGGAAATATGCACAGCTAACTGACTACATCTCCCAGCCTTCTCTGTAGCTAAGTGTATCTGTTGGGTGAATCTACTGCAAAGGGTCCTTAAAAGGGAGACAGCTGGGGCCCAACCTTTTTTCCTTCCCTCTTCATGGGAAGGAGGTGAGATGGCTGGTGCTCTAGAAACTATCATGGATCATGAAGCAACTCTGAGGACAGAGGAGCCTGGGTCCTTGATCATCTCATGGCACTGTCATCCCAGCCTGGACTGCCTACTTCAGATTGCTTTTACATGAGGGAATGGATATACTCTTCTGTGTTTGAGACACTCAGTCACTAGAATATGAATGTGATTAATAACTGGCTCAAAATGATTTCATCTCAACCCATATTTTGCTTCCTGCAGCCAATATGTTGGTCTAACGTGGTGGGTCTGAGTAGCTTTGGGAAGTTTATGCAAGGGAAATGCCCAGTTATGATGCCAGATGTGACAGATGACATCCTGAGCTGGCTGGAGGAATTTGGGACAGACCCCAGTCAACTGTAATCTAACTCCGGGCCAATACTGAATGAGTACTTCCTATAGTCGCCAACAAAAAAGAAAAAGAGACCTGTTTATTGGGTGTGGCAGACAAAGAAGGTAAAAAAACTTCTCCTAATCTCCAGTATCCCCCAAATCCTTGGTCTCAATCCAGATACTCTCACAGTTGGGGTTGTCTTCTGGAAGGATGTAGCTGATACAGATGTGATGTGAGAGACACTTCTACCAGACTGTTACTGTCACTAGCCCACCCCCCAATTGTTCCTTGTTCAAAAGGGCATCTCCTGAGGGGGTCAATTTAAGTATCAAAGTATCATCATCTGTACAAACTAGGAGTACATCCATGCAGCCTAACTGGGCTCAGTCGCCTTACAGTGATAGAACAAGCCTTTTTATTAGTGACTGATCTGTCACTGAATTCTGTTATTTCGTCCTTCAAAATGTCCTTTTCTTCCAGTTCTCAGAGCTAGTACCCTAAAACTGGCTCTTAGGACCTCAGCTAGGAGTCACGGAACAGCTTTCTAACTAGCTTGCCCTTCACGATATCAATGCTACCTTGACTGAAAAACTATTTTATATCTCAGTTCAGCTAAAATGCTTCTTAATTTCCATAACCAACCAAATTTGAGTTTTGAGCATATGCCTAGCTTGCCCCCAACCTGATTTTCCTCCTTTATCCCATCAAATATTCTTGGTTAGTTTCCCAACTGTTGGCAAGCGCCAGCCCTCTTGCTGAGAAGCCAGCTCAGTGGTTCCTGTTAGCTATTCCCCAACCCAAATCCTAGTCATCCTTGGGAATGGGGGAGAGATAGGGAGGGGGGTGTAAGAGAGTAGCTGAAACTATTCAGCACCTACTCTGCTTCCTTTTATATTATTCTATTCAGTAAGGATCCAACTTATGCCAATAATAGTGTTAAGGGTTTCCTAACTTCTATATAGAAAGGATTCACACAATTTAGGATTGTTTTTTTAATTGTTGAGAAAGCATTAGATGCAGCTCATTGGGCTGTTAGACACATTAGGAAAGAATCCTCTGTTGCACTTTTGTAATATTCTCCTGAGCTTTTGGTTCTTGGAAGTCACTCTGAACAAACACTCAGGACCTGACTGGTAAGGCTTAGTAATCAAGAAAGTACGAACTTTCGGTTCTAATCCACTCTTTTACTTATTAACTGTGTGATCAGGGCAACCTGCTTAACTTCAGTGAGCTCATTAATATCGTCTGGAGTCAACGATACCTACTCTAGGAGTGAAATAAAGATAAGTGCATATAAACCCAGCAGCATAGTCCCTGGCACATTGCAGGCGTTCAGTAACACTACTATCAGGCCGCCCCGGTCCTGGCTCCGGTCCCAAGGTCAAATTCACTCGGAAAGAAAGGTCACTCCGGGCAGCGGTTAGAGGGGCACCGGCTCTACACCTTACCAGTGCTCAGGACTCTCCTTCCTGAGGGACCTCCCTAGCCCGCTAGAGCGCGCCAAGGCTGCTCAGGGAAACCGAAGCCTTCCCTCCCAGGAGGTCACCGGACCCCACCGCGGCCCTGAGGCGCCGGGAGCAAAGGGGCGGGGTTGCGCCGGCTGCGCCTGCTGAGGCCCTGCCCGCGGGCCCCCCGAGGGGGCGGGGCTGCGGGCCGTACCATCTTCCACCATGGGGGAGGTAGAGCGCGGCCTTCCCTTTGGTCGCACGCTCAGAAGCGGGCAGGTGGGCGCCGCCGTTCCCCTGGCCCCCTGGGGCAGGTCCCTCATGTCCCTTCTTTTCGCATCCCCTGGGCTCAGGGCGCGGGCTGGCTCCGGCAGGGCAGACCCCGGGGCCGCGCGGCCCCCGGCGTGGGAGCCGCAGGCGCAGGGGGCGGAGCCCGTGGAGGTCGGCGGTGTCCTTGCGGCGCGGCCCGAGGCGTGCGTCTGTGTACGCCTGGCCGTCGGCGCGGCGGTTCGGCTCTGCGGCCTAGACTGCTGGCGTAGCTCACCATGTTGTCCCGGGCAGCGCGCAGGTGAGGCGCCCGGGCCGCATGGCGCAGCGGGGACGGGTCACGGCCCGGAGGGCGAAGGGGC